CACAGACCCTGTACGTCTGCCATGATGCAGACATGGACCATAAAGCTGATTTCTCTGCCTTATGCAGTGGTGGCTGGAAACTTGCCTCAAGTCTAGCTTGCTTGTTTTCTACTTTCTAAGGCTTAGTTGCTCCTACTATGCAGATTTCAAGATAAAAGTTTAACAATTCATTTGCAAAATTCTTGAAATTTTTTAAATAATTTTTTTGCAAGCCAGCACCAGCTGATTCCAGCACACCACAGTTTCTAAGCCATTTACCCAAATAAATAGAGTTGCAAAGAAAGTCTTTAGCTTTGTAAGAAAACAACTTGCATTTATATTAAAAGCATCTATGACCTGAAGTCAGCGTTTAGTTCATTTATTTGGGCCTTGAGTTATCACTGCCTTGTTATTATAGAACAAAATTTTGTCCCTGAAATTATTTGTTCTTATATTTATTTTTATTTATGTGAATATATGTGTCCATATGAGTACATATCATGTGTGAATAGGAGCCTGTGGAAGTCAGAAGAGGGCATCAGATCCCCTTGAGATGGAGTTATAAGTGATTGTAAGCTGCCTGATGTGGGTGCTGAGAACTGAACCTAGGTCCTCTGGTAAAGCAGTCAATGCTCTTAACCACTGAGCCATCTCTCCAGCCCTTGAAATTATTTTTTGTCGTTATTTTGGTTTTCATTTTTTGAGACGGTCTCACTACACAGGAACTCTCTGTGCAGACTGGGATAGACTTGAATTTGCAACAATCCTTCTGCCTCTGCCTCCTGAGTGCTGAAATTATAGGCATGAGCCCCCCATGCCCAGCCTTATCCCTGAAGTTAGTCTACAAGTCAAACGTTTTTGATCATTTTGTTCATATGGTTAGTTAACGTAGGTTTATAATTAATACAGCAAAAAGTGTGACAAAATACCCTCTCCACCCCCTACTCTTCTTCCCCCCCCAACACACACACTCAAAAACATTTTAATTGCTCAGAGAGCAGTGTAGAAAATCTTAGATTGGCATGTTTTTTGAGCTGGGCATTGGGCTTCCTTAAGGTTAGAAGCTAGCTCAACTGCTAATCATTTGGAGTCTTCTCTGCAGTTACAGAATTTGTCGGGCTGGGCTACCGCAGAACAGTGGGCATCTTTTACCAAGTCGCCTTTACCATTGGGCTCCTGGTGCTGGCGGGAGTGGCCTACGCCCTTCCCCACTGGAGGTGGCTGCAGCTCACGGTGACTCTGCCCAATTTCTGCTTCCTCCTGTACTTCTGGTAAGTCTATTTAGAACAAAAAAGAAATGAACCAAAATAATTTATTTTGTCAAAAAGTCTTCCTTCAGCATGGATACCTTGCTTGTAAATGGCAAGTGTTCTAGTGCTCTCCAGGCCTGTGTCACAGGAAGCCCAATTCCACATTGCAAAGATGAAAACTGCACAGTCATCCACTGCAAATCAAATGTCCTTTCACTGGGATGTATCCTTTTGTGAACTGGTCCAGCTCATGTTATCTATTTGGTGCTTAGCATCTGCTGTACAGTTTGGGTGACAGACCCTTTTAAGAAGTCAACAAGATTACTCTTTGCTGTCCTACTGTTCTTCTAGGATTGACAGACAGAAGATATGACTATATCCCCATAGCCATGGCCAAGGCAGACATCTCCAAGCAATCACTGCAGCCATCATCCCCAAATATCAACATGCCACTCTAGACAGACCAATACCAATCAATCAGAGTTACCCAGGGAAGTAAAATATATTTATCATTCCTGCCCAAGGGAACACACATACAGGCCTGCATATTGGTCAGGAGTTGTTCTAAAGAATGAGGAACCAGGGGCTGGAGAGATGGCTCAGTGATTAAGAGCACTAGCTACTCTTACAGAAGACCCAGGTCTGATTCCTAGCACCTACCATGGTAGCTAAAACTGTCTTGTAACTCCAGTTCCAGGGGACTACAATGCCCTCTTCTGACTTCTGTGGGATTTCCACAACACAGATATACTTACATACACACAGGCAATACACTCATACACATAAAATAAAAAACAAATAAAATATTTTTTAAAAAGAATGAGGAACTGAGAAGAGGAAGGAGGTGATGAGTTATGCTTTGAATGTGTCTAACCTGAAGTGCTAAAATTAGGCCATATACAGATACACAGGACCAGTGAAATTTAAGGATCTCGAATTCTAGTAAATTACATGTATATCTTTGTTTCATTCAAAATAGATAGGATTGGTAAGAGGAAGTAGGTAGAGGTGAGAGATGAAGGACAGACAGACCAAGGAACTCACCAGTGTTGGGGAGATGGCTCCGTAGATAAAGTGCTTAGTACACAAGTGTGAAGACCTGAGTTTGGATCCCCAGAAACTGTGTAAATGCTGGATGGATGTGGTGGCCCACCCGTAACTCCAGTGCTTGGAAAGCAGAGACAGCAGATCCCTGGAGCAAGCTGGCTGGACTAGCCGTGTTGGCATGCTCTGGGTTCAACTGAGAGATCTTGCCTCAATAAGTAAGATAGAGCATGATCCAGGAAGGCTCCCAAAATCAGCCTCAGGCCTCCACACACAGGCCTCCACAAGTGTACATGCACACCCACCGGCCAGGATTCCCATAGTAAGGCCTCATCAATTGACTGCCCAACCTTTGCCTGAACACAGGTGACCTTTATGTCAGAATTAAGCAAGATACTCATAGAAAGCACCCAAAGCTCAGATGCTTGAGCTTAGAACGAGCCAGAATGTCCTCTCCTGTGCTTCTTACCCAGCATTCCTTATTCTCCAAAACATCACTTATCTTCCTTCTACCCAGCTGTTCTTTGTGTAGGTAAACTCAGACTGCCCAGATGCCCCACCTGTGGTCTGTTCGGATTCCTCCCTTCTCTCAAGTCTCCAGCTCAGGCAATAGGGGGCAAGCCACTAAAACTAGAAAAGCAGCCTTACAAAGCCCCAGTGGGAGTTGTGGTTTGGCTGCTGCTAAGCAGGCCACACTCTGAATCCCTATCCCTCTTGACCATGGAGTTGCCCTGGCCCTCTCCACATGGCCCTCCTCAGAAGCATCCAGCCCAGGTCAGCTGGGTCCTGCTTCCCAGAGAAACATCTTTCCCAGCCCTTCCAGCACTGACTGACTGCCCACCTACCTTACCCTTTCCCACACTGCCCTGACCCCAGCAACTCTGAGTACCCCAAGACTCAAGGTCCTTGCTTAGAGTACTTCCCCAGGACTTGCTAGCAAGCTCAAATTGTTCAGGCTAGTTTCTGCATTCTACCCACCACCTGTTTACTCTCTGGCCTTTAAAAAGCCTGGGTCTCAGGGCCAGAGAGATGGCTTAGTGGTTAAGAGCACTGGCTGCTTTTGCAGGAGACAAGGGTTCGAATCCCAGCACCCACATGGTAGCTAGCAACCATTTGTAAGTCCAGGTCCAGGGATCCAGTGCCCTCTTCTGTCCTCCATGGGCACTGCATGTCATAGGTGTACTTACATACATGCAGGCATAACACTCATACACATAAAATGAACAAGCCTGATGGCCCTGCCCTCCTTGCTGTGATACAAGTTGCATATTCAGCTGCACCCTGCTCCGCTTGCTGCTGTTCCACTTAGAATGCTGAGGAGAGAGCCCAGAGGCATCCTGGGCACAGCGGACTACAGGACAGCATAGGAGGGAGGAAAGAGCCTCACAAGCCCTGTGCAGCCTGGGCTTCCTTTGTAGACCCCACTGAACCACCCTCCCTGTGCAAGATCCTCCCAGAAACCCCACTGTGAGAACTGGCAGTGGGGAGTCTCCAAGGTGGCTCCTCCTCTACCTTGTGCCCTAGGTGCATACCCGAGTCTCCAAGGTGGCTGATCTCCCAGAACAAAAATGCAAAAGCCATGAAGATCATTAAGCACATTGCGAAGAAAAATGGAAAGTCGGTGCCAGCCTCTCTTCAGGTGAGCTCTCGCCTTAGGTGTCAAATAGGGGGCGGTGAGGAGGGAAGGTGGGAAAACCTGTCATGCGCACTAGCCATCCCAAAAAGCAGACAAGGAAAGGACCCACCTCTTTTCATTTTGGCCTCATTGTAGGAAAACATGATAGAGTACTTCATGTATGAGATTTGTGTTCCCCGGGAGAATGAGCAGATGGCAAATACCAAAAAACACTCAAAAAACAGAAATTTTTTTTTAACTTATTTTCGTGTGTATGAATCTAAGCCTGCACATAGATAGGTGCACCCGTGTCGTGCAATGCAATTGCGGAGATCAGAAGAAGGCATCGAATCCCCTGGAAGAGTTCAGACAGTTGTTAGTCACCATGTGGGTGCTGGGAATTGAACCCGGATCCTCTGCAAGAACAGCCAGTGCTCTTAACCACTGAGCCATCTCTCCAGCCCAAAACCAGATTTTTTTTTACAAGTCATCTGTTTCTTTGTTTCTCTGAATGTCCAGCTTCCCCAAGTCAGATTCCCAGATCCATAAAACACAAATAATTTCATAGAATTCTAAGCATTTTGGACATAGTCTGTTTGATCTGTGTTTCAGGACATGCCTCCCAGCACTGCGTGAAATCAGGTGTGTGGTACATGCCTGTAACTTGGAAGGTGGTGGAGGCAGGAGAATTAAAAGTTCAAGGTCCTCCTTGGCTATATAGTGAGTTGGAAGCCAGCCGGGGTACAGACCCTGCCCCCTGCTCCCCCCCGCAAAGAAAATTATGACATTATGACAATACGAGAGTAAACCATTTCTGGATGAGGGTCTAGCATCAGTTAACTGTAAGAATTTGACATTTGCATGGCATTTAGAGTGAGGGATTTGGAACTCTGAGGCCTTTTAGCCTCATTTCCTCCCTCTTTCTGAGCGTGTTCTGAAATGTGGTAGTTTTCCTCCCGTGACTGGCATGGTAGCCATTTGTAGGCTTTGGATTCTTTGCCAACAAGTCCCTATCTCACACAGCAAGGTAAAGGTCAGGTGGTGGCAGCCTGGTTGCTGCGTGTGCTCTGCTGTTTCTCACACCATCACGTGACCCGTCAGGATGGAGGCAGTGGAGCAGAAAGTCCCAGCTCTGCATGCCTGTTTGAGGTCCATGGCTGATATCAGGAATCAACCTCAACCACCCTTCAACCTAATACAATGAGACAAGGTCTCTCAATCAAACCCAGGGTTCATAATATGGTTAGTCTTGCTGGCTGACTTGTTCTGGGATCCTCTAGCTCTGCTTTCCAAGATTGGAATTACACGCAGACCACCACACACACACCCAGCACTTTCATGGGTTTCTGGGGATCTGAACTCTGGTCCTCAAGCTGTGGGGCCATCTCCTCAGCCTGATGATACTTGATTTCTATCAAGCTCCAGGTGACGTGCTGCTGGTCTGAATATCAAAGTCCCCAGCCTGAGCTTCCTGCCTACTGGACTTCAGCAGGGTCCAGATGGGTAGGTTCAGATGGGTACCTCAGAGATGGATCCCTATGACATCCCACTGTGCCTTACAAAGCACACTTCAGATACATACCAAGAGCTTTTTCTAGCTCCTCTTCTGTAAAATGGAGTGAAGCTTCCTGCCTACTGGACTTCAGCAGGGTCCAGATGGGTAGGTTCAGATGGGACCTCAGAGACGGATCCCTGTGACATCCCACTGTGCCTTACAAAGCACACTTCAGATACATACCAGGAGCTTTTTCTAGCTCCTCTTCTGTAAAATGGAGTGACAAATAGATCCTAACTTTCAGAGACAGTATGTTCCAAGGCTGGTGGAGGACTGGGCTTCTACAGTATGATGGACACTCAGTATGACGCATGGTTGTCATTTGCTGTAGGACTAGGTGACACAGCATTTAATACTTTCAGAGACAGTATGTTCCAAGGCTGGTGGAGGACTGGGCTTCTACAGTGTGATGGACACTCAGTATGACACATGGTTGTCATTTGCTGTAGGACTAGGTGACACAGCGTTTAACAGACAACACCCTTTTGATCTTCTCTTAGAGCCTGAGGGCAGATGAGGAGGCTGGCAAGAAGCTGAACCCTTCATTCCTTGACTTGGTCAGAACTCCTCAGATAAGGAAACATACTTTGATCTTAATGTACAACTGGTAAGACATGTCTTTGGTTTTGACAAAATTTCTCAATGTTCATAGAATCCCAGTCACACACATTAAGGAAAGGAGCACATCCTCAAATTATCACTGAGTCCAAAATTAGCAGCAACAGAGGCAGGCAACATGTTGGCATGGACAGCAGGTTTTCTGATAACATTTTCCTCAGACAAATATGAAGTGAATCTTGGCCTGAGACTAAGATATAATTTCCAACAATTTATGAAGTGACCCTAGACACGTCTGTCATTTTCTACTACGTATTTATGTGAAGCAGTGCTCTCAAAATTGATCATTATAAAATTAAAATATCAGCCAACCTTAAAAAACTGAAGATGCTCTATGTCCTTCAGTATCAAATATTTATCCAAGATTTAATTCTTTATATAAAAATAAACATACATCTCCTTAATACACAAATCTGCTTTCATGTTTAATAAATGGTAAAGTTATATGTATACCAAAGAATTGTTTTTAAATAAATTTATTCATGATTTATTATCAGTAAATGTTTGACCTGTATATTTTTTCTGTATGCCTTTATACCCCAAGTCTCATAAAATTTTTCAAGTGAAAAGTGGTTGTGAGTGGAAAAAAAATTAAGAAACCCTGGCCCCTGGCCTAGGGTAGGGCCCAGAAACCAGTAGTTGTTTTGGTTTGTTTTTTAATTCTCCAAATGGTTAAAATACATATATCAAATTGAGAAGTATCGGTGTGAACCCTGAGTGCCGATCTCTACAGATATACAAAGGTTAGAAAGGAAAGGATCTTTCTATTTCTTCGGTTGTACCTGGAGAAAACTAAACAAAATAGGCACTGATAAAAAGGAATGCCCTGACTCTACAATCCAGGAACCCGGGCTCTGGGGGCTGGCTTGAACAGGGACTCAGAGCTGTGAGTGTCACTGCAGACCCCTCCAATGTGGAGGGGAAGTTTCCCCACAGTGAGCACTGCTCCTCACACCAGCAGCAAGAAGGCCTGTCCTCACTGGCAAAACCCAAGCCTGTCACAACAGCGCATGGCAAAGGCAGCCCTGATCATTAACTGTCTTCTCCTTTCCTTCTCTGAGTAATTGACTCTCTGGTCAGCCTCATATTTTCCATTATTTTAGGACTGTCAAAAGGTCAGTTGCATCAGGCCAGGGGAGAGATTGTCTAGTAGGGAGGCCACACACACACTGAGTTTTCTAGTTCATGAAATTTGAATTACGGAGTCAAGCCTTTGGATCCAAAATGCTTTAGAAGATCACAAAGAGGCTGCAGTGATAACTCTGGGGAAAAATACTTGCTGTGCATGAGGACCTGAGTTTGGGTCCCCAGAACCCACATGAAAAGCCAGGTGTAAAAGCATGTACCTGTAAGCCCAGCACCGGGGAGGCGGAGACAGAAGGGTCCCAGGGCTTGCTGGCCAGCCAGCCTAGACAAGCAGTGAGGTCTAGGCCTGGTAAGAGATCCTGTCTCAAAAGGCAGGTGGAGAGAAACAGACAGAAACACATGACATCAACCTCTGGCCTCCACATGTACATGTACCCTCACAAGAACACGTATACATGCAAATAACACAAATACATACATACACATACATAAGACTACAAAGAGAAGAAAGATCTACAGCCATGACCCACTGGCCCTTATTTCACCAAATCACTTGCCAGAACTTTCTTCTTGGCTTTCCACTGGGGCAGGGATGTTCCCCTAAGTCCTCCTGTTTCCTGATCCCCGGGTCCTGGACAACCACCACAGTGAGACAGCTGCCACAAAATCAATGGCATGGATGGAACGGCCGTGGAAAGGTCAC